TTTTTTTTTTTTTTTGGTAGAACTTAAAGCATTCTAAGATTGTATGGTTAGTGTTTCACTTAGTGGAGGAGACAATAGCAGGAGTCTTGGCGTAACTAGGAAGGCAAACGTGTATGAAATCTACTACATCTAGTGTTGGTTTGATCCAACTCTATACTAGCTAGTTTTGTATTATTTGTAATATGATTCAGTGATTGATTAATATGTATGTATTAGATGTAATATGAATTATAACTAATATAAAAAAATTTAACATGAAAATGAATTAATCTCACATTTTATTATGTTTAAAGAAAATTTTATTTAAATGACTCTAACTAATCATGTGGTTCGGTGATTTAGAAATTTTGAACATTCTTTTTTTTTCTCTGTTTCTTAGGGACAGCAAAAATTAGGTAAAAAGGTCAGATTATTGGGGTTTAAATATAATTTTGAACAATTATATTTATTAATTGAAATCGTTATCATGGCTTTTCTTGTAGATTATGATGCACTTTACAATTTGAAAAGCATGATGAATGAAAAGCTACGTATTGTACGGCGAAAAAAAAAGGAGCAAATTAAAAGGGAATCATACGCACGCATAAACCTTTTCCTAGAATGACAAAAATGCTTTACCTTTTCTAGAATACTGTCCAACCCATGCCACTCAAGAAAATTCAACACATATAATTTGATTAATTTTGTTGAAGTTTGATTATAACCACTCAATTTTTATCCCGCAAAAGTCAGCACATAAGTTTGATTATTATAGAAGTTAAGAAGCTTAATTTGTTTTGTTTAATTGGAATTGGTGACTGAAATGGGAGTTTTACGCATGATTAGGTACAGAATAGAAATTGAAGAAAACTGCAGGGACTTTGAAAATTTTGGGATTCAGGCTGATTTATTTATTTTTGGTACATCATTCAGGCTGATTTATAATTCAAAGGTAAGTACTGTTTTGGAATGGAGTACTGCTTGCTCGGCCCATGGTTATTGCATTCAAAATGGCAGTATAATGATTGAAGTTTGCTTCAATATATGGCCAATCACTATGAATTGTAAAATCAATAATTCTAAAGGTCGCGAATGGGGATGAACTAGTACTTCACGTCTAATAGTTTCGTTGTTAAGATTTAGTATTTAAATTTAATTAATTAAGAGTTCAATTCTAGCTAAAAACTTAAAAATCCTCTCATTTTTTCATAATTTTCCGTATTCAAAAAAAAAAAAAACCAAAAGGCAAAGAAAAAAAAAAAAAAAAAAAAACAAAAATCTTAATCATAAATTAGCTTTTGTACATTCAATGATGATGAATTATTCAACATAAAATAGTCATTTCTTTTTCAAATCTCTCTTTACTCTTTTTTTATTTTTATTTTTGAGAAGTGTTTTTTTTAACCATCTTATAACTTGAACTTTTATATTTAATATGAAAATTTAAATTTTTAATTATATTAAAACACTCCTTACGGACCTTGATAAAAATTAGTGATGAGAGATTAGAACCCTTTTCTTAAGGATTCTAGACTTTATAAAGTGCAAATGTTACAAAATACAGACTGAATTACAAGTTTAAGTGAATGACTTCATATTTACAACGTACACCAAAAGATTCAAACAAATGAATCATTTTCTTTACTAAAGTCTAAAGTGGCCTGAAAATAGATGGGTCATAATCCATTAGCACTGATGTGAGACATGACACATCAAATCAACATCCATCGTACTAATCTTACACTAAATTAGATTCATATACATAATGTAATCTAAATTAAGTCATTTTTTTTTATTTTATGTCAATATTTTCTTGGTATTTCTTATAAATCAGATCTTGATCATCAATATAAGAAATTAATCCATTTGATAATCAGATTGACCAAAGTGCTGTCAATATATGTAGAGAGATTTTCTTATGGAAAATGAAAATAAAGACATCACAAAGATTCAAGGGATTAGGAATGTGATGTTCAAAAAAGGAGAGTAGAAATACAAATTAATGTTTCAAGTTTCAACAAACGGTCTACAAAGACGGTGGAGGACAAACAGCTGTCAACATCTCCGGAAAGGACTCTTATCAGCAAATACGTATTTGATGGGCAAAATAATGCCAAAGCACACAGCCATCAGCTCGACCCATGTTTGGGGCAAAATTCAAGGGGCAGGGGAAGAGGGAGCGCCCAGGGTCACTTTCTTTGAAATCAATTTAGCCATCTCGTCATATTCTCGTGTTAACTTCAATAATATTTCCTTGGATTCCTATCTCTTCTGTCCAGTTGCTATTACTTTGAAAATTGCACACAGCATACCTGCCTAGAAAATAAAAAATTCTTTTATAGAAAGAAATTATTTAACAAAAGAGAATGGATTTTTCAAGACCAAATTGCATGCAATTAAAAACATGATTTCAGTGTGAGAGAGTATAAAAATATTATTAATGAATCTTTATGCATTCGTAATATTTTTAAGTGCATGATAAATTGTTTAAAAAAATTTATTAAAAAAAACTTCATATAAACAGAAAAAGTTTTTAATTGTCATTTATATATCGTATAAATATTTTACTTTAAATTACGTATAAAAAATCAAATGATAAAAGTAAATATAATTAGTAAAGAAAACTCCATAATTTTACACTGAAAGTCCGAATCAATAATTAAAATAATTACGTGGTTGATTTAATTAAGAGACCGAGGGGACCAAGGGAGGAGGGTGCAGTAGGTGGGACTTAATCCTCAAGAAAGAGAAGCAAAAAGAGGAGAAAAAAGCAGGGGAAAATACAAATATGTACAAATAAATTGACATCCAAACCTATGATGGAGAAAAGATTAGGGAGAAAAGTCACACCGTCCCAATTTTCTGTTAAAGAATCTTTCACACTTTACCTTCAAAAAAAAAAGCATGGTCAACTTCTCTCAATTTCATATGTATTGAAACTTTAATTAATTTCCGAGCAATGCTCTTAGGAACCTTCCTTTCATTAAAATAGCACTCCTAACTGGCAGATTCTTACATCTCAATGATTGAACAGATCTCAACATGAAAAATTATCGCTCCCCTTGAGAAAAGGGAGGCAAAAAGAGGGGGCAAAAGCTGGGGATTATGCGAATCTACATAACATGAATGCAATTTACAATAATAATTGGAGTTTTAGTACATATCCTTGAACCAACAACAAATTTCAACTGCATTATATTTATTTACTATTGAGTACAAAGTTTAACTGAGATAGTATGCATCCATTATAAAAGAGATTGTTCAAAGTTGCTACACAGAGTTGGGGATTTCTTGTGCCATTATATTGGGAGTTAGTCTCTTTGAGTTGCACTGAGGCATTCATTTTAGTTGTAATGTATAAGAAAAAATTAGTAAAAGGTATGAGTCTAATTAATACAAATTTTTTTTTTAGATGATAGGAATATTAATTTCTGTTTGTTAATAACATTTGTTGATCATGATAAACATGACATGATTGGTTTTTATTTTTATTTTTGGCTTTTTTCATTTGATGAAACTCATGAATCTATATGTAACAACTTGTTTGATTCCACGTAACCATTGTTAACAAATTTGTCAACAAATGATAATATGATTAGATGCCTTAATATGACAGAACTCAGGATAATCCAAATGGGAACATCTAGACTTACAGTCAATGGTGTTCCTTTTTTCGGCCCCAAAGGTCAATAGAGTTCTTTTAATTGGATAGAATTGGGTTGCAGCTAAACAGTCTTGGCCCAAAGTTTGAGCAGAGGTGCAGCTAAACAGTCTTGGCCCAAAGTTTGAGCAGATTCACCTCACAGGCCTGAACAGCATAAGGACAGATTCAGCTAGATTTTTAAGAATGGACCTGCTTAAGGGATCACTTGAGTTGGGCCCGCCTTTGCATTGGCCCTTATCCAAACATAATAATAAAAAATCCATAATAGACGTCACATACTTTCAATAATTGAAAACTTAAATTTTTATATTAAAAATATTAAATTTAAATTTTAAAATAGATAAAGAGGGATTTGAGAAAGAAAGGGTTCTCACATTGCCAATGATCCATCGTGCAAAATAATAATAATAATAATTAAATAAAGAGAAATGGAGTAACAAGGGGAGGGTAAAATAGTTATCTAACATAAAGATTATTTAAGAATTATAGTATGCAAGTAATAATTTTTCTATTTTGATAAGCAGAAGTCGAATTTTTATTGGTACAAGCACGATACAAGAAGTACCCAACTCGTTACAGAAATAGACGTCAACATATATCGACAACAATCTTACAAGGAATGAAACTTATTAACTGGGCTGAAAGAACTTTGATCATTCACTCGTTCTCTTAAGAAAAGTAAATAAGTCCATTGTCTCGTAGGCAGTGCTAGGATAAGAGAAGATGCCAAATTCAGCTAATTTTTGAGAGAATCTGTAGAAAATCTCATCAATGATATCACATCCAAAATCGTCTTTGATAATCTCCTGATGAATAGCTCTTACAAAAGTATGAATTCCTCCACAGTCGTTATCGACCGAGGCAGCCCCTGCATCTTCTCAATCTTGAAACACCCGTTTTTCTTCACTATGGATTCCACTTCTTCTGGTGATGGTAAGTAAAAGGGTATGTTGAAGGAATCCACTGTGGCTTCTTCCACCAATCCCTGCAACTCACAAACATAAAATTATAAACTGCAAAACTAAGGTTAGTGACCTTATAATTACATTTACCCCACATGTACATTACCATCCTAGTCATGTGTCCACGAGGCTGGAAGCCAAAAGTTCTAGGAGTGCGATCGACTTTACTTTAGTCGTTATGCATGGAATCGGAAGTGCCATAAATCCTCCAGGCACAATCTCAATTGCTCTAGCTTTCAAGAATGACTCAAAATCATACGCAAATTGTGCTGAGAAAGCATCTTCAACTTTTTTGCAGGTTCCATAACTGATCCTCCCTTTGTTCCACGTAGTGGAGGTTTTGTCTTGGACTTGTTCTGGAACTTTTGAAAGCCATGGACTGCATATGATGAGTGAACAAAATGCAGGCTGGCCTTGGGGAACAAGCGCTCATGAAAGGAACTTGGCAAGCCAGCTGCAAAGGAATTTCTTTCAACAGGAAGTGTCCTAAAAAGAGTGTCGAAGTCATTCGCACTATGATCATTGAAGAAGACTTCGAATGCGATGTCTTTGGATTGAGACACAGATTTCACATCTTCTATAATGTATTGGACGACAAAAAAATGCATTTGGTCCGGCACAACATCCCATGTCTGCAATTCTAAATAGATTTGAATTTGATGAAAAGAAGATGCGCTACGTCGAGCTTCTTGGTGATCTCCTCATGCATTAATCTCTTGAATGAATCCAAACCCATTTTCTAGAAAAAATTTAAAACATAACAGAAGAATTTTAATGTCATGAGCATATATAATATCTTCCAGTTTATGGAGAGACTTTGAGGAAGAAAAAGAAAACTTACTTGGTGACCAGAATTTGTGGCATAACTGTGTAGCCCTTCACCAACCATTGGATACGATTTGGATGTATGATTTTTCTCCATTTGAAGGTGCAGAAACAAGTAACAAATATTACTTAACTGAAAGGAGAATATAAGGTGGTTCTTGGTAACAAAGAAAGGGAAGCTCAAGTATATATAATGAGTCCCATGCATGGTTTGGGCTATGGCAACAAGGAAATTAAATTAATTAAGGAAATGATGAGTTGGGCATTGGTTAATAAATTGGGATAGATTCTTGCATAATCAATAATTAGGAAAGATTTATTGTATAAGCATGGGCTGGGCCAAGGGCTACTATTTATGATGATAATTCCATTTTTGGGTCAAACCCAATAAATTTAATATTGATATTATAATTGCCAATTGGCAGTCGAAATTAAGTAGCTCACAAGCAGCTTGATGCAGCACTAACTACAGCTTCTATCATGTTTAGCTTAGGATTTTTTTTATCTTTTTCAATCTTGAGTTGCATAATAAAAGTAACAATCTCTCATCCTTTAAATTAACTCATTCACATATAATATGACTTAAATTTAATATTTTTTTAATTAAATAAAATTATTATTAAATTATTTAAATTATTGACTCTAATTTACGAGTTAAAGATCACAAAAAGGAGTCCAATGAAACACCTCAAACATGATGCATAATCTGAAAGGCAAGCAACCATTATATAAGATATATACTTCAACCAACAGCAAAATGCATGTTCCATATATAAGCAAAAGATCTCACACGATCAGCACCCACATTTAATCTCAAGCAATGCGCGTGGACAACTTGATTAAAATTGTCAAGTTGAGAGAATCGTTTTAGTATATTCTTCATTATTAATTGGACTTGAGTTTTATCTTTGCTCTAATGAATGAATACACATAAATTAAGACATTTTGACTTTTTTATGACAAAGGGGAAGGGGCCAAGGGAGATATTAGTGCAAATTCCAAACAACAGGTCTGGAAATGAAAACCAAATGAAGCCTCTAAAGTTACAAGAACAGTTTAGTATATTAGGCATCATCATAATTATTCAGATATGTAAAAAGAACTTTGAAGATGCAAAATGAGAACTCAAAACTGTTGAATTTGGTAATTTTGTGAGAATTAGCCAGCTTAAAGGACCACGGGTATTGGCTCCCCATTTTCTGCCCATTGCATTCTGCCTTTATTCAAATGTTAAAATTTTATTTTAATCTTTTTACTTTAACAAAAAAAATTTCTTTTCGATCCTTTTATTTAAGAAAACTCTTTTTTTATCTCTAAAATTTATTATCCAATCTTTTTTTAATCTTTCTCTTTTTATATATATGACACGTTAACTAACGAAATTCCAAAATAAAATGATTAAAAAGTAGATTTTTCTTAAAGTAAAATGGCTAAAATTGAATTTTTTTAGTCTCTTTTTAATATCTCTATTTTAAAATTTCCATCATTTAATATGATATGTATGCAAAAAAACAACAAAGAGATTAAAAAAAGATCAAATAATAAACTTTAAAGATGAAAAAAATAGACCTTTCTTAAATAGAAAGACTAAGAAATTTTTTTTATTAAAATAAAGAGACCAAATTAAGATTTTAATATTATCCAAACACATAATTGTAAAGAACTTTTTAGTTTTGGGAATTTATTTAAATAATTCAAAAATAATTTTTTTTATAATTTAATAATTAATTATTTTCATTCAATTAAAATCTATAATTTTATATTATTTACTTATTTAATAATACATAAAAATTATATAAAAAATTATCTCTCTATTATTACCTTTTTAACTATAGATAATAAAAAGTAATATTCTCTTATCTCTTAACTCATTTCATCTACCCATGCAAATTTAACTAAAGTTTCTTATTTTTATTCTAAATATACATTACCATTAAATTACCTAAATCATTCACCTAAATCATTCACGCAAAAGCCATTTTTTCAGTTTAAAAGGGTTTGTATGGAAAAATTATTAGTAAAGTTAACGAGTAAATTTTATAAGAAAATTTGTTATAATATTTATTACAATCGATGTGTATTCCTAGACGTACACAATCAAGCGAGGCAGCTCTTATTTTTTCTCCACCACTGATATCAACTCTGCGGGTGATTGTATCATAGATTGGTATGTGCCTTTAGAAAACAAGAGAGAACTAAAAGCTGTTGGCATTAATTTGATAATTTTTTCCATTAGAAGTTTTTTAGACGTGATGGGAGAAAAAGGTTGATCAAGGCAAGTCTGATCTAACAAACATTCAAATCTACATCCTGACTCAATCACAACTTAGCTCCAACCTATAGCCAGAGAACACACTCATCACTCAAACAAAATCCCAAGACCTTTTCCATAGCTCACCAACTCATGCAAGGACCCATTTTCATCTTTCTTGTCTATTGTATTACCTGACAAGTAATCAATTAGCTATAGGAACTGCTTGTTCTATACACCTCAAACTCTGATGCACCTAAATGAGATTGCCAGTCCACCATGGGAATCGAATTACACTGCATCATCTGTGATCTTCCTGAGTTCTCAATTGGTAACCAAGATGCCATATCAAATCCTTGTGCCATTTCCATGAACATTCTTTGTAACTCCTCCATGCTATAATATTTTTCCTGTGATGCAAGAAATAGAATCAAAAGCAGAGTTTATCACCGCATTCTAGTAGTAACACACGAATCTTCACTCAAGACAGCAAATTGTAGTTATTACTAGCTATAAAAGGTAGATGAAATTCATACCTCTTTCCTTGTTTGTGCCATCATAGACATCATTTCATTTACAAAATCACAAAATTCCTGCAACAAACATGTTCAAATCAGTTGTTAATTTAACATTGAACAGCCAAAAATACACTTTGAAATTCAATTATTTACAGAATATGATATACACCCACCTCGTCCTCTTCATCTTCAGGGTCATACAATCCAGCATCATAGAGAATTCTCTTCCTATGGTCCGATAAGACTGTCACAGAAAAACATGTTGAAAACCATAAAAAAAAAAACCCATAATCAAGTGAATTTTTAAGAAAAATCAAAACATAAAACACTATCTTCTTGGCAATAGAAATTTTAATGCAACCTACCTGAATAGGCTTCTTGGATTTGCTGAAACCTGCGCTTTGCTTCACCCAGAAGAGAAGGTGTTCTTGTCCACCTGTCCGGATGCCATTGCTACACCAAAGCAACACAAACAAATTTGCTTCCCAATTCATCAATTTCCCACAAAGAACAACACAAAACCCAGTACCCAAGAACCAAAATCTTGGTTCTTGAGATTCAACAGATTTCGTACCTACCCAGAAGCAGAGCAAATTAAGCTCGTATTACTTACCATGGCAAGCCGGTGATAGGCGCGCCTTATCTCTTCCACAGAAGAATCCATAGAAACTCCAAGAATGCTGTAGTAAGATGGCGAACCCTGTTCTCCCTCCATGACCACCATCAACTTTCACCTCCAAACAAACATCAAACAATCATCCAACCAAAGAGCCAAGATGAATCAGATGTGTGCTAATGATTGTCAAGTCTGTAGTGGTGCATATTAAAATTGCGAATGAAATGGGTGGCAGCAGATTGGTTATATAAAGAAGGAATTAAAGGCAGTGGGTTTCATTCCCAGAGGAAAAAAATATCTGAGACATTTGTATGGGGTTGGAATCTGGAAGGTTCGGGAACAAACTTGATGGTCAACGTGGAAATTCCAGAGGGAAGATTTTTTGTCCGCGTGTCGGATATTTTGGTTAGAGAGTTCTCGTTTGTGTTGGATTATGGTACGTGGGCGGCGGGAAACTATCATTGAGGGATATTTTTGGACAAAAACTTATTTTGAGTTGCTTAC